GCTTTCAATCATTCTCATTTACTCAATATATAACCAATACTTCAAAATAAAATACCTAATATGACTATTTTCATTGTGTGCAGTTTATTTCCTCAGTCATTCCAACTTGGAGCTTCTTACATATACTGCTGCATTCTTCATGGCAACACCTCAACCAATCAAAACCAACTTGCCAATCAATCAGCATTCTTTTTTCATGCAGTAAAAATTGTTGCTCCCTCTGAAATATGGCATTCATGCATCTGTCCAGATGAGTGCAGGATGAAAAGCATAAACAGCATGACTCTGTTCTGCAGTAATTCTCACGTTCTAAATGTGTGATCGTTCTGTGTTTAAACACATATTATTTGTGAGAACAGAGATAGTGGGACTGCAGATGCTGGAGAATCTGAGATAACAAGGTGTAGAGCTGGATGAACACAGCAGGCCAAGCAGCATCAGAGGAGCAGGAAAGCTGATGTTTCGGGTCTAGACCCTTCTTCAGAAATGTGTGAGAACCTTGTGTTATGTTTTTGGTTTTTGTCATTTGAGTTCCTAACCCATTTTAGAGATTTATGTCTAAATTTCATGAATATTTGAATGTAATGATTTAGAGTATTTATTTCAATTTAGAATTGTGGATCTAGAATTGGTAAAAAATGGTATCTCATTTTAAGTTAACGATATAGGTGTTGATTGATTTTTTACTAAAGCTTACCTACTCAGTTATAAAGAACAGATCTTTTTAAAACATTTTGTTTTAATTGGATCACAGCTATATATTACCTTTTCTTGATGCAGTTTAAATCGTCCCCTGGCCTAGTGAAAATGCCATGACAGTTAACCAAGAACTTGAGATCGCTTTAAAAAAAATGTTGCAACCATCATCTTACAAAACCAGAAGAATAAAGTTCACTGTGAAACACCCCTTTTTGGTTCTTGCAAGGGTGCACAGTAAGTACTCTGGATTAAGTCCATTCAGTGAGCCATCAAAAGTTGTCCAAATGTGACTTTAACAGGAAATAACAGATTTGTAGTGCTGGATAATTTATGATTTTATCAATGTGCATAATGTTCATGGATTAATCTACTGGGCTTGTTAGCACAGCATGACGCAACGTCATCTGTTGCACAAATGTTGAGAAAGCTTATCTTTCCAGGATAATCCAAGGTAAGACAGACAACTTTCAGAACTAAAAGGAATGATCTTAAATTCACTCATTTGTTCACTATGCAAGCTTGCTACATCACGTCACATCAAAGCCATCCTGCAGGAGAATGGTTACCAGATCAAATAATTTCATGTAATCTATTCTGCGAACTCATGACGATCCCTAAGGCCATTACTTTTTATCTGGGAAAGTGGCCCAGTCTTTCTGTAAGGTATCTCAGCTATTTCCCACAACTACTATGTAGTAGCAGCACAAGATGTGTTTTCCACTAACAGGGGTCTGCCATCAAGTCAAAAAGGTATTTTGCCTATCATACAAATGTGTAAAGTGGGTATATGAATTTCAGTGTTGGTGTGAGGTAGGCTGTGTATATAGGTCATAAGTCCCAAAGCTTGGATGATATCAAACAGCATATCTCTTTGGCCATTCACAAAAAGCAAAGTACTGACTGTACCCCAACCAACCTGCGCTTGCAGAGTCCATAACATTGTGCTCAAGGTTAGATGTGAATCTGCAGTTAGACAGCATTTGCTGGTTAATCCTGACTGTGAAGAATTACACTGACAACCAATTTAACATTAGCAGTCAGGCTTGCAGTGTGGTGCACTTGTTTCTACTGGAAGAGCGTTGATTGAGGAGCATGTTGACTCTGATTGTTTGAGATGTTTCCATATTAATACACAGGGCTCTGTTCTTTGTGGACAGAAGGAATATGTACATGCAGTGAATGTATTCATCTGAGCAAACTAGGTGACAGCCATTTGCTGGATAATTTCCCAGATTAATACCTTGACTAGTCAGTCAACTTTCCTATTTCAAAATTTAAACAATACCTGGCATTTAACTGATAATCATCATTATCTGGCACATTCTCCATTGCTACGTTTACTTTACATCGACTTTACTTGTCAACTAACCAGCACTTTTTCAATGCAGTAATTATTGGTTTTATCTAAAATTGGTATTATCTAGCAAATTATGTCCAATTGCAGAATCACATCTAATGTTGAGCACTGTGTAAATTGGTATTTTGCAAACTATTGTGCTGAGTGTAAGATACAAACCTTTCACAAAATGTTTCTTTGATTCTGCAATGTACCTGTGATCAACAGGACATATTTAATCTGTTTTATATCTTTTTGGACAGTAAGTTCCTCCAGAGTTCATGAATGAGACAGAATAATTTTTGATGGGATGGTAAAATAGAATGAGAGGACATTATTAAGGATCCAAGATTAATACAAGAAAATCACACTGCCAAATGAAAATTTGTCTGAAATATGCTTCTTAGTAGAACTAGAATTAAATTATCAGGGCATGATTCAAAAGAGGGGGAAAGGTGACCTAGTTGTGTGGAGATGATGGTGTAGTGGTAATGTAATTTAGCTAGTAATCCAGTGGTCCAAGATTCTGCTTTGGAAACGTAAGTTCAAACCCCATTGCAGCTGGTGGAAATTCAGTTAGTTAGCAATTTTAATTAATTGAAAATGAATAGAATGTTAGTCTGACTAATGGTAACTGAGAAAATCCATCTGGTTAACTATATCTTTCAGCTAAGGATATCTACTGTCCTTACCTCATCTGACCTGCATGTGACTCCGTCTCAGGATCTGTTAGTGATAGGCAATAAATGCTGTCCTTAGCTATAGCACCCATATCCCATAAAAGAGTTTTTTTTGAAAAGCAATCTGTGATTAACATAAATTATAGTGAAAGAACAATATAGGTGAATTTATTAAATGTATGTTGTTCTCGGGGAGATGAATGTATCCCTACTCTTTAAAGATAACTTTTACAACTTAAAAAAAACTTTGTTACTCTGGCCATCAGCAAAGACATTGAGACAATGGAACAGATAAATAAAGATCACCATCCTATCTATTGATAAGATCATCTGGTTATCTGAACGGCTTGCAACACTTGTGGCAAAATATTGAATGTCTATATTCCTTTGTGATTTGTCACATGTGAAGGAATCAGCACATGGAAATGCATAGTGGGTTGTCACTGTAGAAGATGATTCAGAGACACACAATAGCAAAACTTGAAATGGTTCATGTGATTTTGTAGAGACAGACACATTTTTAAATCACCAGGCGTTAACGTAAACCCAACAAGAAACTATTTCACTCACAGATCAATCAGAATTCATTTAAACACAATAGTACTTATCAGAGGGACTGAAACTGAGATTGAAGTAATGTAGACCAGATTATAAATTAGCACAATTCAATTGCAGAGAAATGTAATACATAAAATAAATAATAAAAGAAATAAATTGATTAAATAAAATGAATGCAAAATACTGCAGATGCTGGAAATCTTAGCTTCTGCTTTTTGCTTTGGGGAACTTAGCTGCAGCAGAACTGGCAGCATTGGCAACAGCAGCGAGTGTGGGCCCTGTGGTGACAGATAGCGCTGGAGTGTAGCAACTTCAACATTGGTGGGACCAGCACATAACCGGAGGTGGTGGTGACGGCACTGGTGTCGACAGCTGCTCTGATGTCAGCACTGGCTCAAAGGGTTACTTCTTGCATTTGTTCAAGAATGTTGTGGACTCTGATACTTCAATTGATTCCAAGATGGTGTCGGCAAGGTGGGCCCAATGGCGAGTGATGGTACCAGAGTGTGGGGACTTTGATGTTGATGGATCCGGCCCATGCAACAGTGAGGCGCAAGCCTCAAGTGGTTGCAGCGGTGGCAGCATTGGTGGGTGCCAGCTCAGGCTACGTTGGTGAGCCCTGCTCAAGACTCATGGCAGCAGCAGTGCCAAGGGTGATCTGGACATTTTCTTCTCCTTTTGTTTCTATTACTTTAATTTCGGCTCCTGTTTTTAATTCTAACTATTTTGCTCTAAGATGATGTTGGACAGTGATCACTCTGTATACGTTTCACTGAACTCTTGTACTCAGGTACACTTGACAATAAAATCCAATCTAAAATCTGAAACAAACAGGCAAGTCTGAAGAAATACAAGAAGTCTGGCAGCGTCTGTAGTGACAGAAACAGAGTTAATGTTTTAAATCCAGTAAGACTTCTTAAGACATTCTGAAGAAGAGTCATACTTGGCTCCAAACTTCAAAGAAACTCAAAGCAATGACATTGTAAGAATTATAGGCTTTTGAAGTTATTTTGAGGAATCAGACATTCCACCAGTTAAATGGCCCCTTGCTTTTCACACTGCAGAATTTCACGGCATTCAGTCTCCTGACCACTATGGAGAGGAACTTAAAACACAGAAACTGAAGTACCAAGGACTGGAAAGGGAGAAACGACTCAAAATTTTTAATAGGCAATGTTTATGAGCTGAAACAAAAGAAGTGATAACGTTCTTTGTGGCATTTGTCAATCTTGTTAGTTACCTGAGTACACAAGTGATATTTATTGTCGTAAGTAAACATCTACAATTTATTAACGATCGTCTTAATAAAGATTTGGCATTTTTTTCTTGATGTTATTGGCTAGGATCACTGCCATTCATCTAAGATTCCTCCCTTTCAGGTGAAACAGCAAATGAATGCAGAACTGGGAAAGCGATAGGTGTCTGCAGTGGCTGTGATTTCATTGAATCAGCATTTTAGCATGCTGTGGCTTTGTGCAGAAAATGGGTTGATTTCTAACCTGATCAGAGTAGGGGGTCGTGATTAACTCCAGAAAGTAGCAAATATTGTGCCGTGGAGTTACTCAGATTTGAAGAAGCCAAATAAAAAGTCTGGTTGTAACCTGAACCCGAAATAACCCCCCACCTTGTTGACAGGGGGAGACAGGGATTGGTTTTACTGGCTGACCTTGTCAATAGTTATTGGAGCACATGATATGGGTTTACCATAAACAATCGCTATTCAGCTGTGACGCTTAAAACAGCTTCCCTGAGGCGTGTCTATGAATTTTCCACTATTTTTGGGAAGTTAGTTTTCACCCTCGCGTTACGTGGCAATGGTTTCTTTTCAAGTATGAGCTTTGCCGTCTCTTTGCCGGTGCTAGCCCTCTATTAGGTGACGCAGGTATTAGTTTACAGGTGTGGTAACCAATCCGCCTCAAATGCTGTATATCTAGCTAAGGAGGCTTTGGTAACCAGTTCCCCTTTCACTGCTGGCTAAGCTGACAGAATGTTAAAGATGTCAGCCTGAATGCTATTGCTGTAAACATCTGTCTCTGCTGCTGGGGATTTCGAGATGCTGCGAATTATAGTAGAATCCGCCAGTAATCTTCCTGACTCAAAATTTGGAACTCCCGACCCAATAGCGTCGGTCACTTTCAAAGGTGAGTGTGTGTGAAAATAGAATCGAACAATGCACCAAACGTGTATTTAAAAACCTGCAGCCTATGATAAAACAAGAACCCGCTGGAGTTGGAGCAGGGTTAAGACTGTGTAATTCTCCTTGTAAATTGCTGTTTAATAAGAATATTGTAAAGTAGCTACTTCATTGCTTAAGCTTGTGGATGCAGAGTGAAGTAATGTTTTCACCCCTCCACCCAAAACTGTTTTAACTTATTCAGAAAGGCATCGATCTTCTTGCTTCTCGCACCAGAACATATACAGAATAGTTTTAAACCACCACTGTCTCTTTTCCACACACCACCATCCCCTTCAAATCAAGTAGCAAACTCTGTTGAATTCATGTTCCTTTAAAGGTGTGGCCGTCTCCCTATTATTCATCGGAAAGTTTTTAAGCTTGGAAACTGCTGAAGTTCATTCCAGTGGAATGACTCACTTCTCTTTTGGGTTGTTTTGTAGTTAAAAATCCGACTTAACTTTAGAACAGAACTCCTAAGCCCTATGTTTTTCTTAACTTTTTTTAAGAAACGTCAGGAAAAAACTTTTTCCAGTTTTTTTTTTTACATTGTGGGTAGAGGACGAATTCGATCTCTACCTAAACGAATAGGGCTAATGTTGCCGACTAACACTTCTCGGTTGAACACAACAAACCAGAAGCGAAAGCTCCAGCACGGGTTCCTTTCTTTCCCACTTTTGTGTAATCCTGTCTAATTTTATTGTAGGCCTAGTTACTATTGTCAGACTCGCTTTGTCCTTGTTATGTAAACAAGCAGGAGTCCACCAACTCCAACACGCACAAGTTTATCCAGTGGAAAACTAGGATTGTATTTTTTTTAGGTGGAGGGACAGCTTTTGTTTTTGCCCCTATATCAGTGCAAACTTTTTACTTCTCGACTTGCTGAGTCGTGGAGACTAGCATCCTGGCTTATCACTGAGTCAAGTAATCTCCACCTGGCTGTGACAATTTAAGCACATTGCCTCAGGTCAAGGAACAGCAAATCCATAGGTTCCTGCCACTTTTGCCCACTTACTGCAGTTATATATGGTATAATGAAATTGGAACGTTATCTTATTTGACTGTGAAGCCCACTGCCCCTCTCCCTCCCTGTTCCTTTCAGTTTGCCATAGTCTGAAACAGTTAGGTGGTGGAGGGAGAAAAGAGACTGGCCCAAAAGGTAGTGGGCAAATGTGTAACTGTACTTTGTTAAAACTATTTTAATAGGAAGGGAAAAATCTATAAATGCTAATTATAGAACTTCCCAAGGGTTTTGTTTCAATCAGATGAAATGTGTCTGTAACCTTCTTTTGAGATTTTATTTCTTAAAAAGTTATCTCTTTGTATTTGAGAGATTAAGTTGACCTGTTTCAATAATTAATATTGGTTATCTTCTAAAATTTAAAATGCAATATTTTCACTAGTAACAAGTGCCTGTTTTCTTCTAGTGATCTTAAACATTTAATGATAACTTGTCTGAAAACTAAACACTGGTAGAATTGTTGAAAAGGTTCTTGTTAAATACAGGATCCCCAGTGAGGACATTTCCATTGAGACAATTAGCCCATCCATCATCTGGCCCAATCCTAATTTGGACCTAATTGCTCCAGTTGCAAATATCTGTCCTGTGCATCTGTGTGTGATGTACATTAGTTTGTAATTTCACCAGTTGTCAATGTCACAAATCACTTTGAGTCAGTGAGCACGCTTGACAAATCTACTGGGATACTTTTGAGAATTGAACTAATAGACTTGAAGGGGAGCCAGTGGGGGGGTGGTAATTTGGATTTTCAAGCTTTCAACAAAGCCTAAAATAAGATTGTGTAAAATTAGTCTCAGTATGGGGATAATGTATTGATTTGGGACCAAACTGGATAGCAGTCTGTAAAAGAGAGAATGAATAGATCTACTTCTGAATGGTAGGCAGTGACTAATGGGATAAGTGCTTGGACCCCAGAAATTCACAATATAAAGAAATTATTTAAATGTTATCTCCAGATTTGTGGGTGAGGAAGATGCAGGGATATTTTAATGTGATTTGGACAAGTTGAAGGAGTGGGCAAACGTTTGGCAGATAAACTGCAATGCAAAGTTATCTACTGAGAGCCATCTAATCTGTCTTCCTGTATTTACTTTCAAACAGTAATATGCAACAAGAATGGGTGTCCTTGTAACCAGTTACTGAGTGTAGGCATACATGTGCTAAAGAAGCTAAATGGTATGTTACCCTTGATTGGGAGAGAATTTGAGTGCAGGAGCAGAGATGTCTTGCTGCATTTATACAGTGCCTTGGTGAGACCACACCTGGAATACTGTGCAGTTTTGATGTCCTTTCTGAGGAAGGATGCTCCTGCTTTTTTAAAGTGTAGTGGAGGTTTAATATATTGATTCCTTGGATGGCAAAACTGACATTTGGAGAGAAGTTGAATTGGTTCCGAATGTATTCGGAAGAGGTAGGAGAATCTCCTAGAAGCCCCTAAATTTCTAACAGGACTGTATACAGGATAAATCCTGAAAGGGTGTTCCTGATGGTGGGTGAGTTCAGAATCAGGAGTCACAGACCAAGGATGTATGGTAAACCATTAAGCACTGAAATGAGGAAAAACTTCAACCAGTGTGCGCTGACCCTATGGCATTGACTACTTCAGTTGTTGCCCAAACATTGTATAACTTCAAGGAGTTGGATATAGCCCTTGGGGTTAAGGGATCAAAGTGTATGGGGGTGGGGGTGGCATAGAGAATCAGAACCTGCTATTGAGTTGGATAATTAACCATGATCGTAATGAATGGCAGAGCAAGCTTGATGTAGCCAAATGGCCTATTCCTGCACCTAATTTGTGTTTCAATCTTGAAGTTGAAGGCTTGTCATCTGCATACTTAAACATATTTGAAGTTGTTGACTTCAGTGCAACTCAACTGTTGGGCATATAAACAGGCAACTTGTGTGATCCTGACCAAGATTAATTTCCACTTTTTTCAGGTATTTGAAAATTAATATCTTTCCAACTAAGGAAATTTTAAATTTGCCATTTACAGGGCATTGCTGAATTTAATGTATACGTGAGCTTTGTTTAACCTGTGAGTAGAATGATATTTATTTCACTTCCAATGGTAACTCTGGTGCAGCCCCGCTTGGAGTATTGCGTACAGTTCTGGTCACCGCATTATAGAAAGGATGTGGAAGCATCGGAAAGGGTGCAGAGGAGATTTACCAGGATGTTGCCTGGTATGGAGGGAAGGTCTTATGAGGAAAGGCTGAGGGTCTTGAGGCTGTTTTCGTTAGAGAAGAAGGTTAAGAGGTGACTTGATAGAGACATACAAGATGATCAGAGGATTAGATAGAGTGGACAGTGGCAGCCTTTTTCCTCGGATGGTGATGGCTAGCACGAGGGGACATAGCTTTAAATTGAGGGGTGATAGATATAGGACAGATGTCAGAGGTAGTTTCTTTACTCGGAGTAGTAAGGGCGTGGAATGCCCTGCCTGCAAAAATAGTAGACTCGCCAACATTAAGGGCATGTAAATGGTCATTGGATAAACATATGGATGATAATGGAATAGTTTAGGTTGGATGGGCTTCAGATTGGTTTCACAGGTCGGCGCAACATCGAGGGCCGAAGGGCCTGTACTGCGCTGTTATGTTCTATGTTTGTTTTAAGTTAGTTGCTGTTAAGCAATCTGTTGTTGTTTACATCCTAATGTCCTAATCCAGCAGTGCTTCTTTTATATTTTCTAACCAACCTGTTCCAAGATATTATTACACGCCTTACGCGCAGGTGGAGTTTTGAACCTGGGTCTCCTGGCTCAGAAGTATGGACACTACCACTACACAAAAATCCTTAAACAATGCTTCAATTTTTATTGAATTATGATTAGGCAATGATGGATTTGAACCAAAGTCCTCAGAACATTGTGGCATCCTAGATTATTGTCTTGCAATAATACCACTAGGCCATTGCGTTGCCTAGCAGTACTTCTGTACGTCACAAGATCAAGTCCAAAACAGCTGAAATTAACAATTGACATGATCACTTATGATTCAAGTAAATCCGTGATTAAAGAATTTTTAATGGGATAAACATAAGCAGAAAGAAGACAAAGATCTGTTCTAACTTGGGTCAGATGATGATGCCTTCCAGTCTTTTTCCAGTTGGGTTTGAATTTTGCCTTTCAAGGAGCATGCTTTGCCAATTTTATCCTTCAAGGAGCCCTCCAAGCACAGTAGCTATGGTAAATCCTTGCAGATTTTAAGAACTTGCATGTGGAGATTTTTTAAACACAAACATGTAACAAGTATGTTATTAAATGAAGTTCCCCTTAAATTCCAAACTATTGCCCCACATGCACATCTCAGAACATGCTCTCCTGTAGTGTACTTAATATTGAATCTGGTCATCCATAGGTTTTACATCTGCTGACCAATCTTCCAAACCAATTACGTCTTGGCTTTAGTTCATGGTGCACTTGTGGTGTAGAGCGGAGGACTCTGTGGAACAGAAGGTGACAGAAAGCAGAGCACAAGACAATGGGATTAATAGTGGTGGTAACAGAGATTGAGATGTAAACTGGATGAACTGATAGGTGTGAAAAGAAGAGTGTCCACTCCACTGAGAGCAATGCCAACAATAGACAGACTAGGTACTAGGGAGAAGAATTTGGGGTGACAGTGGATGTTATGAACTTGCTGAACTGAATATTGAGTTCTGAAGATTGTAAAATGTCTAACTGAGAAATGAGACAAGTGTGGAGCTGGAGGAACACAGCAGGCCAGGTACCATTAGAGGAGCAGGAAAAGGAGGGTCCTGACACGAATCGTCAACTTTCCTGCTCCTCTGCTGCCTGGCCTGCTGTTTCTCCAGGTCTATATTGTGTTGTCACTGACTGCAACATCTGCAGTTCTTGCTCTGACTGGGAAATGAGCTGCTATTCCTTCAGCTTTTGATGGGCTTCACTGGAACACTGCAGTAGGATTGGGATGGGAATGTCAACGTGACAGCAAGATTCATTAGTGAAATGGCAAGCAACTAGAAGTTCAGCATCCTTGTTAGGATTCAAGGGAGCTGTTCCACAATGCAGTCATCCTTTCTGCATTTAGTGTCACCGATGTAGAGGATATTGCATTGAGTAGTGAATATCATGGAGCAGATTGAAAGAAATGCAAGTGAACTGCTTCATCTGGAAGGTATTTTTGCAGCTTTGGATAGTGAAAAGGCATGTTGCACCTCCTATGATTGCATGGGAAGGTGGGATGAAGAACTGTTAGTGATGGAGAAATGGATCAGGGTAAAGTGTCCAGAAGAATTGTGAATAAATGGGAAGAGACTGAAGGAGAGGGGTAAAACAGTCAACTTATGCCAAAATAAGTTCAGTGGGGCAGGCTGGGCCTACCAGGGCAGTGTTGGTATTTTTCTTTGAAAGTTTTGAAGGAGGCTGTGTGGGAAATGAGGATTTGAGGTGGGAAGCTGAAGAAGGGAGGCCACCAGAGGAAATGAGATCACTAACTGTCCTGGAAATAGCTTAATAATCAGTAGTGGGGTCATGGTTGACAGGGAGATAAGGAAGTAAGAGTTGGCAGCAGCCTCCAAGTCAGAACTAGATGTGCTAGACAACAGCACAAGTCTCTTGTCGGCAAGTTTGATAAAAGCTAGGGTTAGAAATGAGAATGGAATGCAGCAAGTTGAGGAAGATAAATTAGAATGGCCACTAATTTCTCTGTTCTCCTTACCCAATGTCACATCAACAGTTCTTGATGAAGAGATCAAGACTAGCTAAGAGGCTGCATGGGGAGAATTGGGTGAAAGGATCTGTGGAGCAAGGAGAGGACTCTTGCCAAAAGAAGAACGCATGGAGGCAAAGGTGATGGAAGAAAAGTTCACTGTCATCCCCAAAGTTCATTAGGGTGGGGTTGTAAAGGGATAAATCTAAGTTCTTTGCTGGGCATAGATAGCTCAGCAGAGAGGAACAGAAGAATTTGCAGTGAATATGATGAGGGGTTAGAAGAAGGGATGGAGTTGGGAGGAAGATTTCAGAGGGTGTTGGGTATCTAAGATTTTAAGTTGTATTCCATAACAGCTGAAAGGAAGTGGTAATTGTGGGGGTGTAGTGAAGGCATCGAATGACAGTGAAACTGAAGGAGGACCGCTTCAAGATGGCATTAGGCAGTGCTGATGGAGAGAAGTAAATGTGCATGTTAGTGTGTGGATCTCGGGATGTGGCAAGAACCACTGTCTGAGGAGCATTGGATGTCCTGGAGATGCCGGCAATCCTGAGGGAATTTCTTCCATGAAGGATGGAGCATCAGCCTTTATTAGTCAGTGCACTGACCATAAGAGTTGAGCGCTCATATTGCAGCTGCACAGGACATTGGCTAGGCCACTTCTATATACTGCAGTCAATTCTGGTCGCCCTTCTGTAGAAAAGATGTTGTGAAACTTGGAAGGGTTCAGAAAAGACTTACAAGGATGTTGCCAAGATTGGAAGGTTTAAGCTAAAAGGAGAGGCTGACTAGGCTGGGGCTATTTTCCTTTGAGCATCAGAGACTGAGGGATGATCTTATTAGAGGGGTGTGGATAGGGTAAATAGGCAAGGTCTTTCCCCTGGGTGAGCAAGTCCAAAACCAGAGGGTGTAGGTTTAAGGCAAGAAGGAAAAGGGGTTTTTTTTTAAAAAAAAGACCTAAGGGGCAGCACTTTCTCAAGGTGGTGTGTGAATGGAATGATCTGCTAGAGGAAGTGGTTGAGGCTAGTAGAATTAGAACATTTTTAAAAGGCCTCTAGATGGGTATATGAATAAGAAGGGTTTACAGGGATAAGAGCCAAATGCTGGCAAATGGGACTAGATTAACTTGGGATATCTCATCAGCATGGACAAGTTGGACCGAAGGGTCTGTTTCTGTGCTGTACCGTTCTATGACACACTCTAGTTGGAATTTGCATGGGGTAAGGCAGAGCTGGAGACAGCCACTGGGAAAGGAAATGTGGCTGTTAGGTGAGTTTTGGCAAATATTTAATCAAGCACGAGGAGGGAAATAGAAAACAGTGAAGGTGAACAAGCCAAAAGATTAAAATGAAGTCCCACTGGAGATGAGCAGAACTTCAAGGTAGGTATACCCAGAAAAGATTGTCTACAAACTGCTGGGAACAAGAGAGAATATTACCTAAATGAAAGAATCAAAATAGGAAATTCATGGTGCATCAAAATATGAATGTCTGCAGGGAAGTTAATAGATTTTTCCAGAGGCAAATGTTTGCCTTTATCTTGTTTTTTTTGCTTAAGTCATCATGTGATTTGCTGAGGTGTGTTTTTTTTGTGGTCATTCCCCTAGTAAATCAACTGGCCTACTCGGTTTCCTGTGGTAATGTAACTGTTGTTCCTCCTAATGACAAGTCAATGTGTTAGCATATCTAGCCTGCTGGTGGAACAAGTGAGATATGAACCATATGAGTTTTCACTGACTTTTTTTTTCAATGAATAGTGTACCTGGCTGGTGAGGTATCAATGTTCATGCAGAAAACTAATTAAACCAAAGGAAGCATTGTATTTGAATGCATAACATGTGTCTAAACTACATTTAAATCTAGTACAGTTCCTGATTGGTCATAAAATATTTTACTTTTCTCCCCTATCCAGCACATTCTGTGTGATTTGTAGAACATAGGAACTCTACCAAGTGGGATCCTGGCCAAAGTAATTAGACCAGCTAAAAATGAATGGAATCACTTGCATAGGAGCAAGTGAACAATCATGACTTGTATTGTTGCTTGCTTATACTGGAATATGAAGTAAATATTCTAACTAGTACACCAATTGACTTCAATGTATTAACCAAGTGTTAATGATCTGTTTACCTTTACATTTATGGAAAGGGAAATGAGAATAAATCTTATTTTTAAAAAAAAAGGCAACGCTTTTAAAATTTGGAACTCAACATGCCATGCTTTACATTTAAATGACGTGCAAATGTGACACATTTTCAACTTCTCTTTTAGGTGAGAAGAAAAAAACCAAGTCAATTGACAATGAATTGAACCCTGTGTGGAATGAGGTAAGAAGAGTGCTTAGACTAAATGAACCTTTAAAAGTAAAATTGCAAGGTGATGTGAAGGATCACACCTACTGGTTTGCAAAACTACATGTCTACATGACTGCATTTTTATGTAATAATTCTCCATTGTTCTGAATATAATTAGCAGAAATCCCCTGAAATAAGCTTTTATGGAAAAACTCTCTACCTGAAGACATTTAACTAGTACTTCATCTAGAGTTGAGTAGATCACAAACACTAATGTTTCAAATATCAGTTACTCAGCCATTGTTAATTTGGTGATTTATTCTAAATTGCTTAAGAGATGTTACTTGGAACTAACAATCAGTGACCATTTGTCTTTGTTTTCTACCTGCAGAAAATAGAATTTGACTTGAAGGGACAGACTCTAAATGCTTCTTCATCAATTCTTGTTGTGGTTAAGGACTATGAGACAATCGGAAAAGACAAGTATGTATTTTCAGTCAATTTCATGTATTTACTTCCAACTTCTAGTAACTTTGTGTTCTAGTCTGACTTGTATCAGTATAAATGCAGATGTGGTTAAAATGTTTTCTTGACTCTGTTGAGTGGCATGCTTGATAAAAGTTTTATCATGCAGGAACACTGCATACCTCTTATAGATACCAAGTGCAACTCTTTTAAAAAATCTTTCTCAGGAATTGGAAAGAATTGCACAACAAGATTTCACATTCTGAAGACTTTGCTCTGTGACTAACTAAAATCAACAGGGACTATCCACTATACCAGTATGGTTTGATCTGGGGAGGTGTTGTAAAATATTGTACAAATCTTGGTGTTGATGAATATCACCTTTTTTAATTTAAGCACAGTAAAATTCCAAGTATGTACAAGTCAAGAGTTCACTTTTTTAAGTTGAAGTGCTACTGGACCTGAAATATTAACTTTGCTTTCACTCCAAGAATCTACCAGACCTGAGTTTTTTCCAGCAATTTTGGATTGTTTTACTCTGAGATGGCTTCTAGACAGAATCATTTCGGTAGTTTTGTGATCTTCCATTGCTTTGACCTTTGTATTACTTTGAAGTAGATTCTTAGTTAAATACACTTCAGCCTAAATTACTTAATAGGCAGCTAATGGAATAAAACAGTACAGTATTTGCCATTGATGCACTAATATGACTAAAATATTTTAATGCCAGGTTTCCAGTGGATATGCAGCCTTCATGATTCTGGCTTCTACAGGTTTACTGGCAGCTCCCTGCACACAGTGGCAAATCTTCAGTATTATGTACATCACTCTACTCTGTTCTGAGAACCCTAGAGCTGACCTTGAGCCACAAGGCTCACCCTGTCAACTACTTGGCTCTTTAATCCCCTAGTCTTTTTTTTGTTTGAACAGAGAATTCATTCTCACCAACATCCTGCTTGGTGACTAACAAAACATTCTCTTGAAAATAATACTGTAAATGAATTTCCATGTCACTTCATTTGCTGTTTATGCAGAATCATTGCATTCACCTAGTGATTCAATTGCAAAATGTACTATAGTGCAAAAGCTGATGTTATTGAAAGTTAGGATATTTAGATTCTTTTCTTCAAGTATCCTGTGACTATTAAAGTGCTGATGTTCTATTGGCATTGAACTTGAATTGGGCCATAATCAATGACACACTTGTTTTTGTGCTGGTAGTGACAGAAGTGACCTAGAACCATAGGTGACAGGCCAAACGCTCCTCTTCTAGGCTATCTTGTCTATGCTGACCCAAAGACACCCAGGTATCCTTTCTAATCCAATCTTTCTGCACACTGCTTATAGCCATCCAGCTGACAGTGCTTAAGGTGCAGATTCAGGTATGTTTAAAAGACCCTTAGGGTTTCTGCCTCCACCGTCAATTCAGGCAGTGTATTTTGGACGCTAGCATCCCCTGCGTCATAAAACTTTCCTCACTTTAACGCTTCTGCAACTTTGCCCAAAGCTATGACCCCTGGTTTTTGAACTGTCTGCAAAACGAAACGGTCCCTCCTGTCTGCACTATCTGTACCCCCTCAATCGTGTCATCCCTCTTCCTTCTCTGTTGCAAGGAAAACAACCCTAACTGCTTCAATTCTCCAGTCTCTGTTCCCCATGAATGGCTAAAATAAAGTCCAGACTTGGACATGTGGCTTTTCTGTAAGGTTTGCTGTTGAAATCTCTGTCCCTGACGACCACCACCACAACACCACCCCCTCTCCAAAACCCCACACTGAAATCAATTAGAAATCAACTTGTTGACAAGTCCTGCTGCCTTTTGTAAAAACAAGCAAAAGTGGCACCTTGTTGAAGTAATGTGTAACTGTTATAAACAGTGCATATAGCTGATCAGAAAAAGCTCTCTGTAGTCAAACGATGGAGGTGCTGGTGTTGGACTGGGGTGGACAAGGTCCGAAATCACATGACACCAGGTTATAGTCCAAGTTTATTTGAAAACAGAAGCTTTCAGAGCATAGCCCCTCATCTTATCTTTTTGACTCTTAAAGTTTGCTATTTTGCCTTTTTCTAATTCTATGTAAGCAGCATATTTTAAAAACTGCAGCACAGCTGTTGCTTTTAACTTCCTGGTTGTCTGTCTGAGAGTTGATATGATTAGCTGCTTATCCCGGTGGCTGACATCATGGTTGCTGGATACCTGGATGTCTTGTTGGGGATAGTAGGAACTGCAGATGCTGGAGAATCCGAGACAACAGGTGCAGGGCTGGATGAACACAGCAGGCCAAGCAGCATCATAGGAGCAGAGAGGCTGACGTTTCGGGCCTAGACCCTTCATCAGAAAAGGGGGAGGGGAAGGGGGTTTTGAAATAAATAGGGAGAGAGTGGGAGGTGGATAGAAGAGGGATAGAGGAGAGGATAGGTGGAGAAGAAACAAACAGGTCGACGAGGCGGGGATGGGGCCAGGAAAGGTGAGTGTAAGTAGGGAGTTAGGAAGGGGATAGGTCAGTCCAGGGAGGACGGACAGGTCAAGGGGGCGGGATGAGGTTGGTCGGTAGGAGATGGAGGTGCGGCTTGAGGTGGGAGGAGGGGATAGGTGGGAGGAAGAACAGGTTAGGGAGGCAGGGACGAGCTGGACTGGTTTTGGGATGCGGTGGGGGGAGGGGAGATTTTGAAACTTGTGAAATCCACATTGATACCATTGGGCTGCAGGGTTCCCAAGCAGAATATGAGTTGCTGTTCCTGCAACCTTCGGGTGGCATCGCCATGTCTTGTTGACTTGGTCTAAATTCAAGTTGTCAGGAAAGGGCTCTTGTGGTGTAATGCTATTGTCTCTAGTTATGAGCCAGAGGACCTAGTTCAAGTTCCATTTGCTCTGGCCACGTGTCATTTAACACATTTGAGCCACTTTGATTTCTAATTGGTAGTCCATTGTGGGCATTTATGTTTATAGTATTTTAAAATTTTTCAAAGGTGAAATCCATGTAATGAAGGTTGGGAGTTGCCTTCAAGCTCAATGGTGAGCATAGCTGCTGACTGCATAATTCAAAAGAATGTTTCTAAATTAGCATTACTTCACTAGCTAAGACAGCCATCCACTACTCTGTTTTTATTTTGGTTGTAATCTTCAGTGCCTGGAATTGAGACAGAACTGACATTGCAAAAAAAAAACAAGCATGTAGACCAAGTTGTTGACTGACCTACTTCAAAAGTAGGAAGGAGTGCCAAAAGGGGGACACTGATCTTTTAATGATTACATTGATATTCACTAAAGGGAGGGATATGAAGGATGTTGAAGTTAGGGGATGGTGTGAAAGCACTTTTGGGCAGGTCAGCATAATGAACGAGGAAGTATTGTCTCAATCTAATCACATGGATCCCCAGATCAGGTGGGATCTATCACAGGATACTGTGGCAGGCAAGGAAGAAAATAGCTGGGACCTTAACAGTGTCTCTGCATTCTCTTTGGCCTCAGCTGAAGTTCTGCAGAATGGCCAGTGTTGCTTTGTTTCGTTTCGTTTCGTTTCCTTTCCTTTCCTGAACACAGATAATCCAGGTAATTACAGGTCGGTGAGTCTGAAGTCAATGGTGGGGAAGCTTTTGACAAAGATACTGGGAGGATTTATATGTATTTTGAAGTGAATGGAACTGCTAGTGATGGACAGCATGGGTTTATGCAGGCAAGGTCATGCTTCACCAGTTTGGTTGAGTTTTTTTTTGAGATCTCAAGAATGGTTTGAGAAGGACTGTGCATATTTTCTCCATGGACTTTGACAAGGTACATCATGGTAGGTTGGCCCAAAAGTTAGTCTCATGGGATCTGCAGTGAGTGGGGTAGATGGATGCAAAACTGGCTTGGCCATAGCACAGTAGTGATGGAAGGGTGCTTGTCAACATGAAGATCAGTAGCTAGCAGTGTTGTGTGGGGATCAGTGCTGGGACCTGTTTATATTACAAACAAGAAAACAAATGATTCTGAGGAAAATGTAGGTGGTCTGATAAGTTTGCAGATGACACTGAAATTGGCAGAATAGCAGATTTGGGCAGAGAAATGGGAGGTGGAGTTTAATTTGGACAAATGTGAGGTGATATGTTTTGGAAGCTCAAATTTGGGTGCAAATTATGCAATAAATGGCAGAACCCTTAGCATTGACATACAGGAATCTGGGTGTACAGGTCCACAATCCCTGAAAATAGCAACACAGCCAGTGAAGGCAAGCATGCTGTATACCTTAATCGGCCAGGGCATCAAATGTAGAAGTTGGGAAGTACAGCTGTAATGAACTTTAGTTAGGCCTCATTTGAGAGATTGCAAGCAGTTCTGGTTGCCATATTACCAGAATGATGTGGATGCTTTGCAGAGTGGGCAGCGAAGGCTTACCAAGATGTTGCCTGGTCTGGGAGTTTTGGGTAAGGATTAAAATTGGACAAATGCAGATTCTTTTCACTGAAAACATGAGGCCAAGGGGTGACCTGATAAAGATCTACAAAAATTCAGACAGGGTGGTTAATTGGAGGCTTTTTCACCAGATGGAAAGGTCACCTATAAAGGGCACAGCTTCATGGTTGGGGGGGGGAGCTCACTGCCAAAGTAGGTGGTAGAAGCCAGCACATTAGCAATGTTTAAGGTGTATCTTGATTGACACATGAACAGGAGGTGAAGAGGGATAGAAACTACGTACGGGCAATAAGTAGAGGGTCTAAATAAGGATTAGGAATTGGCCCTGGCTTGGTGGCCATAGGGCCTGTACCTGTGCTGTCTAGTTCTTTGCATTGTGATTTTCCAGACTTGTTTGTATGCAAACTTAATGTATTCAGTTTGATAGCTAAGACATGTCTTTCCAAGCTTAATGTTTTCTCAGTCACACCCATGACTACATCAATGCTCGGATCACTTCCTGTTCCTTTCACATCCTCTTTTGCCATTCTCACCACTATTTCCCCTGCTTTGTCCCTAGTTCCCTCACCAACTGTCAAGATTCCAATTCTCTCATGCTGTACCAATCTCAATAATACTGCTG